TTACTATTGCCTCGCTCCATGCTGGACACAGGGCAGCCCCCTAGTATGTGGATGAACAAATAAATAAATGACTGTGTAAAACATCTTGATAAACAGTAGGCACTCAATATATGTTAGTTCCTTACTTCCAGCCTTACTGAGAGAGCAAACCCCATTCCCATCAAAAGGTGATCCTTTATAACCAATCTCGAACCAATGCATCTACTCTACTTCCAGGTGCATATCCAAATTTTCTTTTTTGCCCTAAGGATGTGAAGTCAGGTCAAATCTCACAAGCCAAAGGGAGCAGTTCTTCGACTGTTGCCTGAGACTTCAGGCACTGACTGCAAGTTTGGGAGTTCCCACAGCACGCTCACTTTGGACTTGCTGACTACAAAATCAGAATTTTCCCACAAATCTCTTAGGGTGCCAGCCCCAACTTTAGGGCTCCCCTAGACTCCACCTACTAGCTTCTACTACTACCTCAGACTTGATCATTTGCTAGAATGGTTCACAAAATGTATGGAAAGCATTGAGCATATGATTACAGTTTCATTCTAGCAAAAGGGATATGAATGACGAGACAGGATGAGGTCTGGGAAGGTTCGCAAGAGTCCCCCTGTCCCCAGGAAGTGTGCATTCTCTTCTACGTATATCAGTGTCTATTACCAACCAGGAAGGCCTGGGAGCCCCAATGTCCAGAGCCCCTTTTGAGCTTTATGACATGGGCATGATTGATTGAACTCAACTTTCAGTCTCCTTCCCCTGAGATCAGGCTGATATCACATGGTGGGTCTTCAGGCCTGGGCAGCCCCCACCCAAGAGGTATTTCATTAGTATAAACTCTAAGGTGTGTTCTGGAACCCATACAGATAAAAGATTCTCTGAATCCCTCAGAAAATCTCAAAGTTTTAGAGGTCATCTCTTAGGAACCAAACAAAAATTAAATTATTTGAGTAAAGTTGAAGTATTTACTCCACACACCCCTATTAGCACATATTTACTTTTAGTTTATCTGTGTTTTATAGTATAGTCTGATCATCGAAGTATTAAAACTAAAACTTTACTTAAATACTTAATACTTTTTAAAAATAGCACACTATGTGTGCTGTTTACAGAGCTTATGGGTAATCACAAAGGCCTAAGAGATCTGTTCCCATAAAGGGGTTTTCATATTAGGAAAATCTTAATTTTCTAGATAAGAAAAATTATTTTCTGAAGGCACCTTGAATCCATCTGTTATCTTTTAAGTACAGAACCAGGATGGATGTAAAAGGACTAATTAGGAAGGATGTAAGTTATGATTTGCCATAAAAATGTAAAAAACCAAACTCAATGCGATGGAGTTGATTCTGATTCATAGAGACCCTATAGGGCCAGGTAAAACTGTCCTGGGGAGTTTCCAAGACTGCAGCTGTAAATGGAAGTAGAAAGTCTTTCTTCCTCAGAGTCACTGGTGGTTTTGAACTGCCAACCTTGCAGATTGCAGTCTAACTCATAACCACTATGCCATCAGATCTCTGGATTAATGTAAAGGGAAATGAAAATAGGAAAAAGGAGGGGCTCAGTGAGGCAGAACTTATCAGCCAGGTCAACATGAAGGCCATGTGCATTGGGCAGACAGAAACATTCCAGCGTTGCTCTGTTATAAAAACCTTCAATGGGTGGCTCTAAGGTGAGACTAAGACCGGCCGAGCAGACATTTTTCATCTGAGACGACTGTAAGACCATAATTGGCCATGGAAGATAGCAAGTATCCTGTGGTTGTCAGGTGCTGTTGAGTCATGTCCACTCCCGGGACAGAGCAGAGCTGCCCCATAGAGTGCTCTTGGTTGTCACTTGATGAAGGATATCGCAGGTCTTTTAACCACAGACCGCCGGGTAGGTTCGAACCACCAACATTTCAATGAGCAGCCCAATGTGTAACCTCTCCACCACCAGTAAGGAGCCTCGGAATCATTTCTTCTATTACTATTCCCGTGCATTGCTCCCTCTTATTTACCCACAAAGGAGACCTGATGGTACAATAGGTAAGCACTTGGCTGCTAACCAAAAAGTAGACAGTTCAAACCTACTGTCTGCTCCGTGGAGGGAAAGCCCTGACAATCTACACACCTGTAAAGATTACAGCATTGGAAACAACGTGGGTGTGTTCTTCTCTGCCTAGAGGGTTGCTGTGCACCAGAATCTACTCATCAGCAGTGTGTGTGTGTGTGTGTGTGTGTGTGTGTGTGTGTGTGTGTGTTTTACTCATATGCTTCTCTGAGCAGGTGTACCAAACCAGCTCCAGGTCAGGAAGTAGAAATTCTGCCCTCAGTCAACAGACTGCCACGTGTGCAACGTCTCTGCTTTTGGCTTCCTCATTCATGTTTTCTCAGTTTCTGTATTAGCAACTCACATGTGCACAGTATTGGTCCTCGTCTCAGGATGCCATAAGGATTGAAGCCATTTAGAAAAGTCTCAGTGATTTATTATCAGGAGAGTTGGTATGAGATTGTCCCAGGAAGCAGACTCACGAAGAGCAGTGAGGTAGAATCAATGGCGTGACAAACGTGAACAACCATCTAGTCATCTGCTTTTCAGTCTCCATTTCTGCCACCAGGTGGGAAAAGCTAAGGGTTTGGATGTCTTCCCTGTGGGCTATGGCTTAGACCATGGTACAAGATACAGCCCTCTTTTCTGTATCCATGGAGTTTACAGTGCAGCACAAGCAGCTAACATTGAGCAAGTAGTCACTATAATAGCAAATGTGCTGAGTTCTACTAAGTTCAAGGTGCTTAGAAAGTATGTCATGGGAGACTGCAACCTCTGGAGATTCAGGGAAAGCTTCCTTGAGAAAGTTGCTAAGACAGGCTGCCATCTGCTTCCAAAAGTGCAAACCAAGTTCACTGCCATCGAGTCATTGTGTACAATTGTGTCTGTGTCTCAGTTCTGACACTTTAGACAAGTTCGTGTCACGTGAGTCTTTATATTAAACTGAGGATGATGTGAGCAGTGGGAGATAAGACAGTCAATGCACCTTTCACTTATCAGTTGCTTGTGAGTGGATTCTGATTCATGGTGAGCCCACATGTGACAGAAGGGAGCTGGGCTTCTCTGGGTCTTCACAGGCTATTTTTTTTTCAGAACTTCGAGTAAATCACCAAGCCTTTTATGCCAAGAGTAGCCTTGAACCTCCAGTCTTTCCATGAGCAGCTCCGTGCAGTAATCATTTGCAAATGCACTAACATATATGTCTCTTGTTATACAAGGAGCTTCCCAAAAAAATCATGGAAACCTGGAATTAAAAGACAATGGTGGAGCGGGGAGGGAGGGGAAAAATGAGGACCTGGTGTCGGGGGTTTGAGTGGAGAGAAAATGTTTTGAGAAATGATGTACAAATGCGCTTTACACAATTGATATGTGTATGGATTGGGATGACAGTTGTATGAGCCCCTAATAAAATGTTAAAAAAAAAAAGACAATGGTATTTGTGTCACAAAATTTTGGAAGCCCTTTTTGGTACATCAAGATATGCTTCAAACAAACAAACAAACAAAATGCTTCAAACCAAACCCACGGCCATTGAGCCACTTCTGACCTACATCATCCTTTAGGAAGAGGAAGGCCCCCAAGGAGATGCATGGACAATAGAGGGCTGCAACCCTGGGATCAGTGGTGGGGATGGCGCAGGGCCAGGCAGTGTTGAGCATAGGGCTGCGATGCGTCAGAGCTGATGGCACCTCGCAGCAACGACAAAGTAAGGCAGAGTCGAGGTTTCTGAGGCTACACATCTTCAGGGGAGCAGACTGCCTCCGCTCCCTCCTGTGGCTCGGCTGGTGGGGTCCAACCTGACCTTTTCGTTATCAGCTCAATGGGAAACACTGTGCTGAGAGGAAAACCAAACCCATTGTCATGGAGCCCCTTCTGATGACAGTGGACCTAGAGGACAGAGTGGGGCTGCCCTTGTGGGGTTCTGAGACTGTAAAGAAATCTTTCGCCCATAGAAAGCTGGGTGTCTCAACTCACAATCCATTATGCCACCAGGGCTCCTGCCAGAAGGAAATGTGAAAGACAAGTAGACAGTGGGGATCGTTGGCAAAGGCTCGGAATTCAAGGAGCAGTCATTACCCTACACTGTAGGGGGGCTGACCTACTGTCTGCATTTCAAATGTTGGAGCACTCTATGCTTTGAGACTACTGAAAACTGGGTTTATGACAACTTAATAAGGAAGAAAGACAAGAAAACTTAATAAGGAACTTTTGGTGACTGGATCGCTTTCTGGCTGTAAGTTAGCCGCTGCAGGCAACAGCAAGATGCCGGGAACACAGCTCGTTGACCACCAGACACAGGGTCACGCAGGTCTGGGCGGATCCCAGCGATAAGCTCATGTTTTCAAACCAAAGCCGAAGGGAAGGCACGCTTGTCCAAGGGCAGAGGAGGCATTCGCTGAGGGGCAGAAGAGGGGTGCCACCTGGGGTGGGCTGCCAGAGGGGATGCTGGTGTTCCCTCTGGTACACTGTGCGCCGCACCGCGAAGGGCATAGTGCATCCGGAGGGCGACCCCGGATGCCCCGCGCTGCTGCCCGGGCGCTCCCTCCCAGTCTTCCTGGGCGCGAGAATCCGGGCCAGACCGGCACCCTTCTGAAGGGTGTGGGTGCTTTCGTAAGTGGACGCCTGCCAGCGAGGAGAAAGCAGGCGAGCGCGGAAGTGGGAGTCACCGCCGGGAGAGGGCGCGC